GCCTTGGCAGTCTCAGACCCTAACCCTCTCCAGGGCTCTGGGGCTGAGGGACCCCAGCGTCGCACACCGGGGAATCTGGACAGGGAGCTGATGAAGGACACCCGCAGGGAACTTCGAAGCTTTGGAGGAAGAAGGGCAGTCATTGCTGGATAAACTCTAAGTGTATGCAGATTTGCCGTTTTAACCGCCTCTAACGGACCCAAATTGACTATTGGTTTGGGTATACATTATGCCCAGGCATGTAATTTAGATTTGGAAGTGGACGTCCAACTTAATCACGAAGCATTAGAAGGGGAAGTATTAGCAGAGGGAGACCAGAAGTATAACCAAATCCCCCTTCTTCCACAAAGCCATCCCTAGTTCAGACACCACTGAGCTCCCTATTCTGTGAATTCCCATTGTATCTGTTCATTCAAAAAAATGTGCAGTGAGCGCCTATGTGGGAAGCCCCTGTGCTCAGAGCTGTGGAGTCCAGATATAATTAAGACACAGTCCCTACCTTCAAAAAGCATCACATCCTGTTAACTGTACCTCAGTGACCTTATCCATCTCTCCTTGTTCATTGCTCTCTTCCCACTGCAGCTCTGCCCAGTCAGATCCTCACTGGCTCTTGTTGATCTCACCCAAAAATCTACTAACATGTCCCCCACCCCAACAACAAAAGCCTGTTATGAGTCTTATCAGGTTAATATTCCCAAATCACAGCTAGATTCAGTTCACCCTTTCTGCTCAAAACTCTCAGCAACACATAGCTCAGTAAAATCCAAACTCCTTAATCTGACCCCAACCCCTCTTTCCAACTATCTCCCCTTCTACTCCCCTCCTCACATCCCACCCTCCATCCAAGTCGAATGAATTGGTGTTTAGTTGTACATGCCCTGTAATGTCTATTTTGGTCATGTTGTTCCTTTTTAGAATGTCTTTTGTCCCATCATTAAAGATCTACTTCAAAAGTCATCTCTCATAAAGCCTTCCCCAATGTCCCACAACTGAATGTAATTGTTCTCTGAATTCTTGCAGACTTTTAGCCTCACTTAGGACAAATAATTTTCTATCTTCTATTAGATTTCCTTGACAGCCTGTAAGCCCAAGAACAAAATCTCTTATTTAACATTTCATCCTTCCCTCTGTAGACTCTGCACATGGAAGCTACCCAGATAGTCATGAGTGAACCAAATCTAAGGCTATGCAAACGAGCAGTACAGGAAGAAAATAGATTTTCACCCCAATGTTCACAGTGACATTATTTACAATTCCCAAGATATGGAAGCAACCCAAGTATCCACCAACAGATAAGTGGATTAAGAAAATGTGGTGTGCATGTACATACAATGGACTACTACTCAGCTATAAAAAAGAATGAAATTTTGCCATTTGCAGCAACATGGATGGACTTGGAAGGCATTATGCTAAGTGAAATAAGTCAGAGAAAGACAAATACTGTATGATATCACATACGTGGAATCTAAAAAATACAACTAGTGAATATAACAAAAAAGAAACAGACTCACAGAACAAACTAGTGGTTACCAGTGGAGAGAGGGAAAGGGGAAGGGGCAAAATAAGGGTAGGGGATTAAAAGGTACAAACTATCGTGTATAAAATAAGCTATAAGGATATATTGTACAATATAGGTGACGTAGCCAATATTTATAGTAACTATCAATAGAATATAACCTTTAAAAATTGTGAATCACTCTACTATATACCTGTAACATATAATATTGTACATCATCTATACTTCAATTAAAAAATAATTTAAAAAAGGAAACATTTTGATAGAATGAAAACTCAACTAGAGCAAAGATGGTTGTTTCGGACAGATGCATCCCAAGTATTTAAAACAGTGCCTAGATAATCAGTGCTCAGTATGTACTTGTTGAATAAAAGAAATGGATGAGGGCAGCAGTCACAAAAGGAGGCTTACAGACTGAGCAGTGAAAAATAAATAGTATTTGTCCCAAAGAGGGCACTCTTGGGAGAGGGGAAGCATAAGCTAGATGTGGTGGTGGGAAAATACGGCTTATTGATAAATGGCAGGAAATACCACTGTGGCAGCAGCATCCAGAATTTAGTGTGAAAGATGAAGAAACTGGGAGGAGGTTAGGTTGTCCAAGTCTTGAGTTCTGCACTACAGAGCTTACTCGTTCTCAGAAGCCAAATGCATCGCAAGGCTTTGAGGAAAGCCAGGTCCAATCTGTGTTCCAGGACAGTAACTCTGGTAGCAAAAAAGGATGTGATTAGGGGTAGGAAACCAGTTGGGTTACTGAGTAGAAACTAGGTAGGTGATGATTAGGACCTTACCTGTAGGAACAGGCAGAAGATAAGACAGATTAGCAACAGATTAGTCAGTAAGGTTTGGCATATCATTCTTCACTCTGTGTTGATTTAAATCTAACTTG